AGGGGCAGGAAGAACCTGGAACATGCTTTGTGGGGAAGGAAGTCCAACTCCGCCCTCTATTTGTCCACTGGGTCTGGGTGAGTGAGTCTAGAGGAGGCCACAATGGGAGAGTGCAGCTGAGTGACAGAGTCGAAATCCTTGAGCCAGGTTTCAGTAAAAGCAAGTCGGTTGAGGGAGTGGGAGAGGTCATTGATAGTAGAAAGTTTGTTAAAGGCTGAGCGGGTATTTGTGAAGGCACATAAGAGGGAGGGTGTGGCGCATGAAAGCAGGGGAATTGAGATAAGAGTGAGGGTTGCGGCTGAGGCCAGAGCGGAGAGGATGCTACTTCTGTGGGTTGGAGTTTGATGGTGGGGGGCCAGGGTTTGGGGCGATGTCTCCAGAAGTTAGTAGGAATAGGAGGGTGAGGGAGGTGAGGTGGGAAGGGGATTTATATGAGGGCAAATACCACAGTGATTTTGTAGTGGTAACATTATGTGGACCAAGAGAGAGCAGGAGATAAGTGCAATGATATTGAGAGGGCAGAAGTGAGGGTGATATGTACAGGTTGTGGGGTGGGGAGAAGGGGTAAAGAAGAGAGAGTTTGAGAAGAGAGGGCATTATAGCAACAAAGAGTTAACAAGAGTATGCTGGAGAGAGGAGAAATAAAGGAAGGCTGAGGGAAAGAGGTAAGAGAGGAAGGAGCACTTGCAGACTACTTGGGTTGGAGCACTAATGTTTGTACTTGTCTTAGTCAAAGAGCTGTGCACTTAGTGTCATAATGACACTTTGCGCAAGGATTGCCAGCCTGTCCCCTCACCAGCCGTCCCAAGGACTGTACTGAATTTATACTTGGATGGGTGGGGGGGTTTAGACAATAGTTCAATTAAAAGCTAATAAAATGAAACATGGTGGTGTTCTGCCCTTAATAAATTGCAAGCAGGATGGACACAAGATAAGGCAAGGTGTTTGATCTCAGCTAAGGCACTATGAGGCCAAGTTCACTTAATACAGGCAAGTATAACTGGCTATAACTGACAATATTATTCATTGTATTATATAGCAGGATTGATTTCCCCCATCCACAGCGTGTGGATGAGGTGAATGGATTTTTTTTTTTCATTCAACCCACTAGTTCAGCAGCATGTGCAAAGACAGGTGGGTATCAATGGTCTGCTTTATTTAGCTCTGTAATTACAGTCACTTTTATATATTGAGCAATATGAAAAAGGGTTATTTTCAATGGGCAGACACATAGATCTTTTTAGATTTCTATTTTATTCACCATCCACACAGTATACTCCCCCTACCAGGTGCAGATCTGGTTAGCTTTGTTTAATCTGTTCTTTCAGTCAGAAACCCACAAAGCACATTTTTTATGTTTTATATAAGACAAGATTGACCCTAAACAATGGCATCCAGCCCCAGTTGCTTCTCTATTAGCACATACTCTTTGTAAAATAAAGTCTTCAATAATAATTATATACTGATAAATAACTCATTTATTTTACCTGTATACATGTAATCAGAATATTTGTCATTAGGATATTCCTGCTTTCTCAGTACTGGCTGCACAACGCAAGAATTCTGCATGATCACAGGAACATGCAATTATCTTATGCTCATCAGAGAGAGCGATGGGTAGAACCCTTGTACTTTATCATAAGAATCTGTAAAGAGTCACAGTAAAGTATGGTTACAGAGCCCCGAAATGTCAAATTGAGTGCACAAAAAAGTTCTACTTCTGTTGATATAGGTTTGTGGCTGTCTCAACCTCTCTTTAGTATTTACTGAACTCTGCATGCACAGAGATCATCTAAAATGCCCGAGTAACAAAATCTTGCTATTCTAAGTGTCCAAGCTCACTAGCATTTTTTTTTTTAAGCTCCTAGAAACTATTGAGCATTTTTGTAGCTCTTAAAAGCTAATCGTGTTATCCTATGTTTCCATGCACACTATTTTATGCTAGAAGCGTTTTCCAAGCTTCAGGGTTTAGAAGCAGGGAAAGGGGAAAAAAAAAAGTTTTTGCAGAGTTTTTGGGAGTGTTTTCCCAGCAGGAAGAAAATGCTAAATTCTCCTAAACGCTACAAAAAAGCTCCTAAAACCTTTTTTCAAGCATTTTTTTTTCCTTCATGAACTGTAAAAACACTAATAAAATGCTAATGCTCCTAAAACACTACTAAAACGCTATTACAAACCAGTACAAAAACACTATTATCAGCATTTTTCCATATAGTGTTTTTTTCTAGCTGTTTTTACTTTATAAAAACGCTAGTGTGCATGGATCCCAAGTTGGCATCCTTCATAGAGTGATTGTTTTTTTTTTTTTTAGTCTGTTAGGGGAAAAAAAACAGAAAAATTTAAACATTATTGCTGCCTGCATATACAGGCAGTCCCTGGGTTACGAACAAGGTTCTATTGGTTTGCTCTTAAGTTGAATTTGTATGTAAGCTGGAACAGGTATATTTTTAAGTGCAACTCAAGCCAAAAATTTATTTTTAGGTTTTGTATAGTATAGTGAATATTTAACTGGCTATGCAGTGATGTGGTATAGCTGACAGGTCCGTAATACAGTAGGTGGCAGCATAGGGTGAGGAGCAAGGTGGCCGCCTGACGGTTTCTGGAACCAGCGTGACCACACGCTACCTCTGTTCTTAAGTATAAGTCGTATGTAAGTTGGATGCTTGCAACTTGGGGACTGCCTGTACTGCACTTTCAGCAGCCTGAAAGTTCTCCTCACTACACACTAATCCCAAACCAAGCTGGTCTGCAGATTACCATACTTCATGGTTTTATCCAAGCTTGCTCGCCCAGTCTTGCCTCTCCTACATTCCTTTTGGTCAGTGAGTTAACCCATCACAGCAATAGACCATCAGAAATGTGTAGAAGGTGACAGAGCTTCAGAGGCTACATATCAAAATAGCCCAAGGTTTGGGAAAAGTAATGAGAATCTGCATGCTGTTGAAGGCACAACTGTTTTTATTTTTTTTCTCTGGCAGATTCACTTAACATTAATTGGACTGTTTAAATAGAAGACCGTAACAGCTTCCTTACCAAGGAAAATGAAAACAGCAATATCTCTAAATATCAAACGTCTAAAGCAGGCATGTCCAAAGTCCGGCCCGCGGGCCATTTACGGCCCGAGGGTCGGTTTAATACGGCCCTCCATGTCAGTGTGTCAGTGTGTCTTATGGAGCGAATATGGAGCGGCCGGTCCGGTATTTCCACCGCGGCCGTGTCAGAATACCGGGGCCGGCCGCTCAGCTCTGCAGCGGGACCTTACCTGTTCCTCTATCCAGCGGCGCGCTGTCTTCCCGGCTTCTGTAGTGTGGGCGCTGGGCATGACAGCCGGGTGCCAAGTGCGCATGCGCAAGAAGCGGTGCTTTTTGTGAATGGTAAGGCGGTACCTGGGACACATGACAGATCCCAGAAGCCGCCGGACCAATCACAAAGCGCAAGTGCTTCTCGCTCATGCGCACTGGGCACCCGGCTGTCATGCCGAGCGCCATTACAGAAGCCGGGAAGACAGCGCGCGGCTGGATCGACGAACAGGTAAGATCAAAGAACAACTGCAGAAGTAAGAGCGGGTACCTGTCAAATTCAGGTACCCGCTCCCCACCTCCCCAAAGGTCAGCAGTCATCTGTACTGTCCGCAGTCTCTGGTCATCCCTGTGCTGTCCGCAGTCTCTGGTCATCCCTGTGCTGTCCGCAGTCTCTGGTCATCCCTGTGCTGTCCGCAGTCTCTGGTCATCCCTGTGCTGTCCGCAGTCTCTGGTCATCCCTGTGCTGTCCGCAGTCTCTGGTCTGTGTCTGCAGTCTCTGGTACTGTGTCTGCAGTCCATTAGTTCAGAATTTTTTTTTTTCCCTGTTTTCTGCCTCTAAAACCTAGGTGCGTCTTATGGTCAGGTGCGTCTTATACGGCGAAAAATACGGTAACTTGGCATAAAATAATTTATTTGCATTTAATTGTAATGGTTCAAAGAATGTTTGGAAAAATGTTCGGCCCTCCACCATGTTCACTTCATCCAATCTGGCCCTCTTTGAAAAAAGTTTGGACACCCCTGGTCTAAAGAAACTGAGTACCATAAAATACATTTTAAAAGTGCAAAAAAAAAAAAAAAAAAAAAAAAAATTTCAAAAAACAAAGTTTATTTGTCTGTATTAGCATAGACAGTCAGCTACACATACATTTGACTTTCATAATTAAATACATGAATGTATAATTATAACAGGCAGGAGAGCAATAGAAAAACGTGGATGGCACATTTGGTTACTTTTCATGTAAAACTTTGAATTAAATAACTTGCTTATCCACTTTCTACTATTTCTGTAGTAATTACATACCAAATAAACTATTTACTACAATCATTTTTACCAAAGAAATTTTGGATGTACTGCTACAATACTTTACTTGGAGTACTCTGCAGCGAGGTGAGGAGGTATTGCAGTGGCAGAGTACTTTACAGTGTAAAGAGTGTTTCTAGAGCCTATGCATTGTCTCAGTATACTACCTGGTAAGCAACAAGGCTACAATATTCACAGCCACAACCGATACAGCATATCTACATTATTATTTGCTGCAGCTTCAGTGCATGTCAACTGTGCCTAATGTCTTTCAATAAAGATTTTTTTTTTTTTTTTTTTTAAACATGATAAAAAATTTAGAGCATATTAACACTGTTTCAAGTTGCCTCCTACTCCTCTTGCTAGCAATAGCTAGCTATGTACTGTAAACATGTGCAGAATAGGAGACTTTAAACCAAGGCATGACAGTGAGTGCTTACAATGGTCACTTAAGTGAGGTTTTCTTTAACCTGAGGGCAAGATGACTTACAAACAGAAAAAGACAGAAACAAACGCACAAATAATAAAAAGATAAAAGTACTATGCAAGAGTGTTTGTGATTTAAGAAGAACCTGTATTTTTAAGACTGTTTCTTTTGTAATGATGGCTCTGTTCCATGGAAGTATTTTATTTTTTGGAACTAAGGCTTGAATCTTGAGAGGCCGGAGTTAAGTCTGATGTCATGGTAATGCTTTAACCAGATACAACTTTTCTCCATGTTCACTAGTGAAAATGGGTGCTTTCTTGTAATGTTCCACCAGTTCATCCATGCTCTTAAATCTCCTTTGCCCAATACAATAGACACTGTCCACCATCTGTATTTTAAAGTGTTTGTTCTTCCCTGATGCCTTTAGAGAAATTGAAAAGTCACTGGGCTGTAAAACAGAAAGCACATACATTAATCAAAAACCACATTAAAAAGTGAATGCCTTCTTCTTATGCTAGAATTGTGTTATATTTACAAAGCTAATACAAATCTAAAAGTTACCCTTGAATAAATAAGATTCTTCAACTGAGGTAGAGGTTTGCAATCAGGAGGATGCCACTTACCAGAAAGGCCCGAAGGCAGTCAAATCACACATACACTTACAACTTCCCTGTAAAATCTATATCAAAGTACACCTGTCACGCCCACTAAAGTATATAAATTAACAGTACTGGTAAAGTGAGATCCCCTGGCAGGGATAATGTATGCTTTATATAGGGCCTTGATTTTCCTGACAAAAATAGGATTAAGCCATGTCTGCGCAGTGCCAAGCCTCCCACTGAAATTCCACAATACCATTCCAGAGGGACTGGAGATTACTCTCAACTTGGAAAGACCTTGAATACAGCCTCGTCATAGGATTCAGGGCTCTTAGTAGACACAAATTAAGTGATCTGAAGATAAACATCTAGTTTTCCAATAATGTTAGTTTATATATGTTGGTGAATATTACAGGCTTCCTGAAAGGCAACACATACAGTCCAGATGTATAGCGTGCATGGGTCTTTTCTTTTTAGCAGAGCCTGTGAATTCCAGGTGTCACATGTATGCAACCAATGGAAGTCTATTACGATGCAGAAACTACACGGACACAGCTGCTGGGTCCAAATGTGACAGGCGTGTGGGTATGGGTGAGCAACCCTAAACACACACAGTCTGCATTCGCGGCCACTCACCCCCGCATTCCTGCCAAATTGGGACAAGCAGCTGTGTCTTTGCAGCTGCGGCACCCTAACAGACTTCCACAAGCTCACGGAGGACATTACAAGGAGGCAGAAAAACAGTGAGAAACAAAATTTATGAAACATAGCTCACAGGATGTGTTTGGGTTATTTTTGCAGCATACAGATATCGCTTAGTGTCACGTTAAGAATGTGAACACTGCAAAATTGGAAGCTCACTCATCAAAGTAAAAGCTGTGAGATCAAAAATTTTCCTTATTTAAAATAATCCTTTGCCCGAACTATGGACATTAAAGTATTTAGACATTCTTAACAAGCAGTAAAAGAGCTGATAAATGCTCACTGACGCTGTAGCTACTGTAGAGTAATTCATCCTCAAAGGCCACAACAGAGACTCTGCACTGGGGTATGTCTTTTTTTTTTGTTCTTCAGCCTACAGCAACTGCTCTGTATTTATAAACATCAGGAGGCTAGTAGGCTGCTGTCAGAAAACAAGGAAATTTTGGTTTGATTTTGGTGCCTCGGTTGTGAAATTGGAAGAACAATTTCTCAGTAAAGCCTAGTGAGAGCGTTTTAAAGCTCTGACTGCTTAGTAATAATATGGTAACATTCACGGGTTCATTCACATCAGCGTACCGCATTTTACTATGCAGGATGGCGTTCATTTGGTCCCAGTGGCAAGGGGGCAGTGTCATGCACAGAGGTTTTTTTTTTTTTCATTAATGTTTTTGAAGAAATCACACTGACCACTAATCTGGAGTCAAAAACGATTTTTTTTAGCTAGATTTGAAACTACAGACAACAGTGTTCCAGGATTCAAACTTTTCAGCTGAAAATCTCAAGAGAAGGGCATGGAGGAGGTAGGTGTAAATCACTTTGTATTGCTTACTTTCAGTTGACCCAGAGAACTTAAATTTGGACGATAAGTTAAATTTAAAGCAATGCAATCCAACAGGATAGCTCAGCAGGAGGGATTCCCCTATAAACACTGACTATGTAGATGAGAAAGTCACATCCTCTATAGCCTGGCTTTTTGTTTAAGGTTCATACACGGTGGCTTTCATCTTCTTTTATTACTGATTCAATTACCTAGAACAAACCTATCTGTTAGGACACCTGGTATGCAAGGTCACTCTGAGTCACTGATTCATGAAGTAGTAAAGTAAGGAAAAAAATGCTAGCTTTGGAACATCGGGGAAAAAAAAAAAAACACAAGTCCGCAATGATGGCTACAACACGTATGCCCTGACAGGTTTCTTTTACACTTTGCATATTCATTCCAAAAAGGTTTAAAAAAACGCTTTGATATTAACAAAAAGGGATTGATCAACTAATTTTTATGAGAAGTGAATTATGAAAAGACAATTATGGCATTACTCACTGAAGATTCGCTGTCTCGAATGACAAAGTCTCCCTCCATTCCTCTTTCATTTAGGGCACATTCTGCCTGATGCCTTGTAATTCCTCCATAGTACCATGGTTTTCCAGCAAAACGTCCTGTACAGGCAGGGCCAGTGTAGCTTATTTGATGGAAATGTGAATTATTTATGGAAGGACCATCACTTAGAATTATAACATAGTTTTTTGGGAACAAGGCCAATCTGCCCACTGGAATTTTTACATTTCCACCATTCCGGGTCATTCTCAGGCTTCTCAATTACTTCCATTATTTCTCCTTTTTCAAAGTTCAGTTCCTCTTCCGTTACCGAACTAAATGGGTATAGTGTCTGAACAATATGGAGAATTTTAGTGTTTTGTCCATTGCTTATTGATGCACCTTTCCTCAAACTGAGAAAACTAGGTGAATCTGCTGTAGCTTCATCAACTTCTTCCACAACATAATTTGATGGAAACCATCCAACCTGTCCATTGAGTGTTCCACGCCACCAGCCATCGCTACATTTTTCCATAACCATGACTCTAGCACCCTTCACAAGAGATAGCTCATCATCCCTTTCTGCCGTATAGGCAAATTTTACATATGCTGGAATGTTTAAGTCATAGATTCGATCAGCATTGGTACCGTTTGATGGATATTCTGCATCCGTACTAGGAGTTGGTGAAGCATCTCTAGTGCTAGTCTTTCGCTTTGTCTTACCCAGACCTGCAAAGTAATAAGAATATATGTGTTGCTTGCAGCCAAATAGTAAAGTGACAGTAATGACCCTTTAGTAAATGAAAACATCAGCACTGTACATACTGCCCAATAATGTACATGAACACAATAACTGCACTACAGAGCCTACATATTTAGTGAGCAAATATGGGTATCCTCACAAACTATACACAACTGTACTGTAAGCACAACATACACTTAATAACTTGAATCCCTGAGCACTTGATTATTAACACATTAAGAGCCTGGCCCCTCCCACTTTCAAAAGATTTAATACTGGATGTTCACTTTGATAGGCAGTCTCACTGGCCAACAGTAGGTCTTAAAAGGATGGTCAATCCAATGATCAGGCAATTCAAGCCAGCCTGGGAACTGAACTTCATAAAGGATCTGACAGTTACTGGAAGTGTCATTATGCTGCCATCATGAAGTATGTCTTGCAAAATTCCCCTCCTAAATAATTGATATTAAATATGTACATTGTAAAGCAAGAAAACCACAATACAGGACGTTGCAGTAAACTGCAAGTGAATCAGGTTAAAAATATAATTCATATGTACATTGGAGCTGAAGAAAACCTTGCATATATATTCAAAGAAGCTACACAGCTTTACTGTAAATAAAGTGAATTTGTGCTCTATCCATACAATTTTATTGCAGCTTATTGGGTGACACTGGAATTCTGTTACATTTAGGTTAGGAGAAGAGAAGGGGAATTGATACAAATGCAAGCTGTGTGAGAATGATTATTCAGGGATCGTCTAAATGCAGAGTAGGAGATAGCCATACCCCCATGGTTGGGGTAGGCAGTTCCAAAAGTTGGGACAGGCTCTGGTGAAGTTCAGGACAGGACACGAACATGAGAAGAAGCGACAAGGGAGATATAGAGCAAGTGGTCTTGGGAGGAGCAAAGTGGTCAGTCTGGTTGATATTTTGATACGTGGTTGGTGATGCAACTGGAAGCAGAGTTATGGATGGCTTTGTAAGAAGCTGTAAATATTTTACATTTTATTAATTGAGCAATAGGAAGTCAGTGGAGGGATTGGGAGAGAGGAACAGCAGACACTGAATGGTTGGTAAGGTTGAGAAGTCTGGCAGCAACACTCATGATAAACTGAAGGGGAAATAGCTGGTGTAGAGATAGCCCAGTGAACAGGGAGTCAGGCAGGACTCTACCAGTTCTGGAACCGGAACACACAGGAACTGCAAGAAATGGTGTGAACTATGCCATTGAAAGCAATGTAACCTGCTTTCCATGCATTTTGAATGCCGAAAAAAAAAAAAAAAAAAGCACTGGAACGCACATGGTGTGAACTAGCCTTGATTGCCCATAGATGTCAACTAGTGTCATTAGTATAGTGACAGTGTACAGTATTGGCACTGATCACTGTATTAGTGTCGCTATTGATGTCAGCGTCAGTTCGTGCAGATCCCGGTCCCAGCGTCAGTTAGCTCCAGATTGCCCACCACAGTAACACAGTCTCACTATAAGTTGTTGATCAATGCCATTACCAATATAGCATTATAGCTGCATAAATTCCAGTATATATACACCATAGCTTGTAGACGCTATAACTTTCATACAAACTAATATACACTTAAGTGGGATTTATTATTTATTTTTATTTTTTTTTTTACCAAAGACAAGTAGCAGAATACATTTTGGCCAAAATATACAAAGAAATTAGATTTTAGTTATTGGATATGTTTTATAATAGAATGTAGAAAATATTGCTTTTTTCACAAAAATTTTTGCTGTTTGTTTATACAATAAAAAAAAACAAAAAAACAAAAAACAACCACACAGTGGTGATCAAATACCACCAAAAGAAAGCTCTATTTGTGTGAAAAAATTACATAAAATGTCATTAAAGTACAGAGTTGCATGACAGTGCAATTGCCAGTTAAAGTAGCGCAGTGCTGAATAGCAAAAAAATGCACTGGGCTTGAAGAGGGTAGAACCTTTCCAGAGCTCAAATGGTTAAAGTGGTATTAAAGCCAAAAGCCAACACTCATTATGTTGCAGCTTACTTATTTCTTAGATGTGATGAATGTGATTTTTTTTTTAGGCTCTCCATTTTCATCTGGTGATCTAGCCAGTAAATCTGTTGCTTTTCAACAGAACAAGCTCTCTTGCAAAATTTAAAATCGGTGACATCTAACAATTCCCCACCCCCAGAATGCCAATGCTGCTGTCCAAATATATCCCGTGTTCATTTATTCAGAGTGGAGGAGGCATTCTGATACAGGAGGTATGCTACTGGCCAGATCGCCAGGTGAAAACATATTACATTTTTGGTTTGTGTTTAATATCGATTTAAAATAAACCAAAACCCCATACTAAAATAGGAGAACCTGCCAACACGAATGGGGGAGCAGACAGTCCTGATGCTTGAGGCTAAATAGAAAAAGGTCACAACCAAAAAGGAGAATGATCCACACAGAAGGGAATACAGAAATCTGGAGCAAGCGCAAAGCTAATTAACCAGAATTCAGAGGGGACAACAGATTCCCATGTAGGAAAAAAAGACCAGAGATAAATCAATGAATGAGGACAAGCCCCAGAAGAAATACTGTAGATCCCACAAGGGGAGGAAAAACCTTCAGACCCCTGACTCCCTAGGATCAAAGGATGTGAATTGTGTCCAAAGATTATCTAGCCAAACAAATCTCGCCAAGCAAGACTCATTAGGGAAAACCTGAATCAGCTAGAGCACTTTAGGGGTATGAGGTGAGCTCTGAATCTGCCACAAAACTCAGGAATTTTTCATCTCACAAAGTTATCATAATTGAAAGATTAGGACTAAAGGAAGCATCTCCACCAGGGTAGGCAGGAGATGAAAGATATACCTTAGCCTAAGGAACAACCAGATGAAACTGAGGATGAAGGTAAAACATCCTCTCTGGTATGCAACAGGTGGTTCTGGGTAACCCCAGGGGGATCCTGCTGAAGGACAAACCTGCCTATTCCAAACCTAAAGCCATAGGACTAGAAATGCTTCTGATCCCACTGCTCCAGCAAAAAGTCAGCATATGTGGAATCCGATGGATGGATTCTTAGCAGTACTGCAAATTGCCTGAATAAATTTAACCAAGGGAAAAATGTCCAAAAAATCTTCTCCAAGATGCTTAAAATCAGCCAAGGAAAGAGGGCCTAACTCCAGGTGGACCAGCCCCTGAATTCAAAAAGCATTCCTTGTTCACAACAAAGGATGCCTGCAGAAGGTGATAAGTGCGATCTGCTTGGCGACAATCCAGTCCTGAACCCTTCGCAGACAATCTTTACTTGCTATGCAGGGTCTGAAACAAAATCTGGTAGTAGTAAGTGTGAGATGCAGATGTGAGTCAGCATGGCCTTCATGGCTGCCATTACATTTGCGGTTTCCAATATATGCTTAATGTCTGCACTTCTGGATGGATCAACCTATAGAACATTTAGCTTGAGCTTCATTCAAGAGATCTCTGCTTCTATACCATTGCATCGATGGACATTACATGCATGTTTATTTCTAACCGACAATGGCTTGAAATCTCTGCAGCTGTATACATCTACACTGTGGATTCCAATTAGGGTCCGCCTATGCCTGATAGACTTTCATTCTGCTTGAATTCCTTAGAGATTATAGCACATTGGTTAAGTTTCCTACTGTATTCAATATTACACGCTATTTTGTTGATTGTAGTTTACTCAGGGGAAGTAAATTGTACTTGTTCCTTAAATCTAACCTTCTATTAAGAAACTATTAGCACTAGTGTCTCTTAATACTTCACCTTTTACAATAGGCTATCACCTCCGCACTGCAATCCGGACTGTATGATTTTATTATGGTGTTTTAACAGGTGGTTATGTAGGATTTTCAAGACTGGAAGATATATCTCTATTTTATCTGTGATCATTAATAAAGACTTGTTATATTTCATATAAGCTACTTTGCATGGCTGATTCATTACCTACTTTAGCAGTCTGTTCTTCACAGCTGCTTTGTTTTTCTTGCAGGGTCTGAAGCACACCTAGGTGTATGAACCTCTCCCTCCGTGTCTAGAAGCTACCAGGCAAGAGGAAGCAGTTACCAAGGGGCACTACATTAATGCCCATCCGAGTTGAAGCTCTCTCTTCCTTCCCCACCTCTGTCCTTCTTTCCGGGTTCTCAGGCAGCCAGTTGAATGGAGAAGCCGTGATGACTTCACTCCCAACGCATGTGCATGGGTGTCATGGCTGCAGGACAGAGCTCTGAATGGACATCAGAGCGCAGCACGTATGTGACAGTAAAGTCACCAGCTGCTACTTAAGTAAATATCTCCTAAACGGTGCACGTTTAGGAGATGTTTACACAGTGCCTACAAGCAAGCCGTATAATAAAGCCAAGCAGTGCCACCCACCTGTGCCCAGCAGTACCACCCACCTGTGCCCAGCACTGCCGCCAGTCAGTGCCACCTATCAGTGCTGCCTCATCAATGCACATCAGTGAAGGAGAAAAATTACCTGTTTGCAAAATTGTATAATAGAAAAAGAAAAACATTTTTTTTCTAAGTGTTTTGCTCTTTTTTTGTTTAAAGCGCAAAAAAAAAAAAAAAAAAAAAAAAAAAAAAACACACCCAGTGGTGATTAAATACCACCAAAAAAAAGCTCTATTTGTGTGAAGAAAAAAAAAAAAAAAAAGATAAAAATTCAATATGGGTACAATGTTGCATGAATGTAATTCAAAGTGCGGCAGCACTGAAAGCTGAAAATTGGCCTGGGCAGGAACAGGGTACAATTGCCCAGTAGGCAAGTGGTTAAAGCATATTTAAACCTGAACCAATTAACAAAAAAACAAAACAAAAAGGACCTTGAAGCTGCAATGTGTCTTAGGTGAGGTAGCTAAATTACCGTATTTTCCGGCGTATAAGACGAATTTTTGACCCTTGAAAATCTTCTCAAAAGTCGGGGGGTGTCGTCTTATACGCCGGTATACGGCATGCTGACGCTTTTTAGGGGGGCGGTGCGGTCCCGCCCCCCCCCCCCCTTTCAACGGAAGTGAAACTAAGTACAGGGGTAGGCAGGGGCTTCTGTTTCTTACCTGGCTCCGGTCCCACGACGATCCGGTCCAGGAAGCACAGCTGCTCCTTCCTTCAGTTCGGCCACTGGATGTTCGTGCGGCTGCTCGGCTCCGCCTCCTCACCGGTGATTGGCCGCCAGAACTGTAGCTCGGGAAAGGCACACAGGCGGCCAATCACCAGGGAGGAGGCGGAGCCGAGCGGCCCCCACGAAAATCAAGTGAAGGTAAGTGTGCCGTGCACAGGTGCTGCTGCAACCATATATGCTTGCTGCAGCAGCACCATACTGAACAGGGGTCAGCAAGTGTCAGTGGGAGGAATAGTGCCCCATCATTGGTGTCACTGATACCAATGATGGGGCATTATTCCTCCTCCACTGACAACGACGATGGGGCACTTTCCCCCCCCCCCCACTGACACCAACGATGGGACACTACACCAATTCCCCCCCACTGACACCAACGATGGGACACTATTCCCCCCACTGACACCAACGATGGGGCACGATTCCTCACACTGACACCAATGATGGGGCATTCTCCCCCCACACCAATGACACCAATGATGGGACACTACACCTCCCACTGACACCAATGATGGGGTGCTATTCCTCCCACTGACACCAATGACTGGGCACTATTCCTCCCACTGATACTAATGATGGGGCACTATTCCTCCCACTGATACCAATGATGGGGCACTATTCCTCCCACTGACATCAATGATGGGGCACGATTCTTCCCACTGGTGTGCATTGGAAGAGGGGTAGTCTTATACGGCGAGTATAGCCCAAACACTACATTTTAACAGGAAAAGTAGGGGGGTCGTCTTATATGCCGGAAAATACGGTAGTTTTCCTTTCTTCAGGATTTTCCCTTTATATTCACATGGTCATCCTGTGATTAACACACTTCCTCTCCCTATTTGGCTATGCCCACTCATTCAATTGATCCTTTAAGAGAGCTATGATGGTCACCCAGGCTGGACTACAACCAAGATAAGACAAATAAGATTACTAGTTTACAGAACAAAAATATAAATTTGGTTTCAGTTAATCTCACAAGTGGCAAGGACACTACATTTCTGTAACGAATAACAGGTATTTTCTGTAGTAACTGCAAATGTCCTTATCTTGAAAAATAAAACTAAAGCAGCCATCACATTTAAAGACTGATATGCTGCAATATATAATATTTTTGTTCTTGGGTTTAGTTAACAGTTAAACATTGTGAACAGTGTTATTCACATAAAACATGATGCACATTTAGGTAGACCAGGAAAGGAGTTAGAAGACAGTAGTTAAAAGACCACATGCATGTAATTAGGTTTAATAAAATGCCACCACTACAAAAAAAAAATAAAAAATCCACATATCCAAATTTTACAAGCAAAACCAAGTGAGCCTATAATAAAATTGCTGTTAACATTTTGTAATGCCTCTAATAAAATCAAGTTGATATTACTTCAACACTGGGCATGTAAGATAAGTAAACCTTGGTGACCAAGAGACTATGTAGAATATATAATAATAAAAAAAAAAAAAAAAAAAAAAAAAAAAAAAAAGGATCATCGTTTCAGTTTTTAATGCTCGTGTTGCACAAGTCCAAATTCTATTGGAAAGTAATCCCCAAGTAAAACAAATGAGAAATGACCAAACTGTGTGCAGAGACCTAAAAAAGGATATTATAACTTTCCTAAAACAAATTTTATCTAGTAGTTGAAACCAAAAAAAGTTGATAAAGAAATTTCTTTTTAGAAATGATATTTACGCAAATTGTTACCAATAAAAAAATGCTTACCTAAGGTGTCCTTCAAGTTTTTAACCAATGATCCCTTTTTTAAACTATTTTTCCGCTCAACATAATTAGATGGGACATATCCTGTCTTATTGGATGCATTTCGCACCCTCCACCATGTTTTAGAGTCGTCCAGTAGCCATAGGCGTTCATTTTTCTTGATATCAAGTTCTTGGTCCTGTTGTGCCATATAATCCCATTTGGCAATAACAATGACCTCTTCTGTCATTTTTCATGGAGTCAAACTGTCAACAAAGCACATCAACTAATCAGTATTTTTAAGATAGCACAGAAATGCCCATCGCAGAAAAAATATTTAAATATATAAAAGCAGTGCCATTCAGTGAGCAAGCAGCGTACACTAATTAGGTCCATTATAGTTTTCTCTTCTTACAAGCTTTCATAGCTAGGTTTAAAAGTCTTGTGCAGCCTGGTTAACTCACAGGACTGTCCCTGTCATCTTCCAAAGGAAGCAAATTTGAAACCAGTTTTAAAGCAGCCCTTTACCCACTTTTTACACTTTAATAATATTAATGTCTCAATGTCATAAATGTCACTTTTTTTCCAAATACCCTTTCTTTTTCCTCCCACTTCCATCGGAACTGTGTGCAGCCTTCTGGGATATGAACATAATACATCAAAAAAGTCTGCAGCAACTCCAAGAGTGCAGAGTATGGACAGGCTGCCAATTAAGCACACCCAACCTGGGGATTAAACAATTTAAACATTGCTACTGTATTACCAAAGTGTAAATTCCATATCATTGACTACAATACAGGAGAAAGGCAAACTTATTCATACAGCATGGGTTATAGCTTTGTAGCTACAGGTGATTGGACATTGGCAAGCTTTTGAGGAAACACGCCTCTTGGGTGCCTCCCCTATACCCCTACCCCACTCCGTGAGTCCTAAGTGTATTAGCAAGCAATGCAAACTAACAAGAAGAGCTTAGGGAGCATGACCAGAGTCCTGTGCTACACTCCAAGATAAGGACTTCACACAAGTCAAATGGATCTCATCTGAATCATAAAATACAGGATACAGGCAACTGAATTATATACAATGGGACATCCCAAAGCAATGAACACAAGGGTGGACAACAACTAGGCAACAAGCCCAAAAACATAAAAAATCCAGGTTCAGAGTGCTGCTGCAAGAACCTTGTAACCGAATGCTGCATCAGCAAAAGAGTACATGCACCTGGTAAAACTTTGAAAATGATGAAAAAAAGAACAAGTGGCGGCTTTACTGAGTTGAGCAACAGAGATTTGGTGCGGCCCAAGATGCTCAACGTGTGTGTGTGTGTGTTAGTAGGAGGAGGTGTTTTAGAGCATAAGCTTTTTAGGTACACTCTATTGGTTCTTACAATGTTCAGGCAATGTGGAGAGACTTCCTGTGGGTACTTGGGAGCAGGGCACAAGGATGACAGAAAAATGTCATCATTGGGATGAATGCTGAAACCATTGTTGGAGGGATGGATGGTCTAGGGCAGCGATGGCGAACCTATGGCATACGTGCCACAGCCAGCACACAGAGCCCTCTCTGTGGGCACTTGAATGGATTGCTACCCCCCCGGCTTGTCCAGTGACGTCATTGCGCCTGACACCTGGCTTCTGAGTGTTCCAGCCCTCTCTTCTGGATCACACACACACACACACACACACACACACAGACACACACACACACACACACACACACTTCCACACACACACACACACACACACACACACACACACACACACACACAGCAGTGTCACCTGAAGCACAGAGGTATCCATGAGGATTTTCTTACCCGGGTACAACTCGCCTTGTTGTTCCACATGACATTGGACTAAGGCAATACCTATATCTGTCTAAAAAATGTAAGTTGCTCTCATCCAGACTTGTAAATAGCCATATTTTGAGAACATTTACAGCCATATCCTATATGGGTGGGGTTAGTAAATTATTTTTCTTATTTTTGTGTTTTTCTAGACTCAAGTGTTGAACACCAAAAAACGAGCACAGCAAAAAAAGCAAAAACAGAAAACAGAGCGTGGAAGATCAAGAGACCTGGACAGAGTCATTTGGAAAAATAAATGCACATGCAGAAATGAGGTTTCTGTCATTGAAAGCTCTGTTATTGTATTTTTCTTTTAAGGCAAAGATGTTATTTAGTTCGGACAACTGTATGAGTCGTTTTTTCTAAACTAAAACCTCAGTATTCAGGTTTAATTGCAGTGTTGCTACGATGTAATATGACATTGCCAATGTAAAGTACGAGGAAGGGCACCTGACAGGAAAGAGCTGTCAGTTCTGAGTACATCTAACAGATGTGTTATTTGGCCACCAGAAAAGCTACTTTATTGGCAAGAGATTCCAAGGAAATATCCCTGATGGATTCAAAGGGCGCTCTCTGCAAGCCAGAAAGAACCAAGTTAATGTCCCAGGGGCGCACAGGGTGCTGTAAGGGGTGGGGGAGTGGGGTTGATTAGAGAAACACCTTGATTAAAAGGTTTTTATGAGGGAAGGAAAATCTAGAGTTTTTTGGAAAATGAAGGATAAGTCCGAAACATGCCATTTTAGGGTTCCGAGAGCTAGATGCTGGCCCAGATCTATTTGTAGGAAGGCCAGAATATGGGGTACAGAGTAATCTCTGGGGCCAGTTTGGTGTCAGAAGATTCACTGTCTAAAGTAAGACCACACACTGAACTGTGACCACAGAGTAACTAGAGCATCTCAACCCTGAGCTAGAGGATCCCTGGTTCTGAATACAAACACGGGTACTTTGTTGTTGTCTGGAGGCTAGGATATCTACATCTCGAGTTCCCCAGTTTTGGCATATCAGACTAACATAATCTCTCTGCCAATTGTCCACTCCTGGGATGTGGATCACAGAAAATCTCTGAACAGCGAGATTCTGTCCCTGAGATTGTAAGCTCCAAGGAGCAGGTCCCTCCTATCCCTCTTGTATTGAACTGTATTGTTGCTGTATTGTCTCCCGTTATATTGTAAAGTGCTGAGCAAACTGTTGGTGTTATATAAATCCTGTATAATAATGATGATGATAATAATAATAATAATAATAATGAGAGAATCTGGTTTGCTTCCTTCAAGACAGCTTGGCTCCTTGTGCTCCCTTGATGGCTGATATATGCCACTGTTGGTGGCATTATCTGACTGCATCCTAATCAGATTTCACTTTAGTAGGGGGGGTCCAGTGCTGGAGGGACAGTTTGACAGTTCCACTGGCATAGACAATTTTAAAGAGTCACATGTTTGCCATCTGCTTACTGGACATAATAGCTTTTATATTTTACAAAAAAAAAAGTTAGGTATTATCTTGTGTTTTTGTGCATTAAAATTAAACTTTTTTTTTTTTTTCCTAAAAAATTTGCGATTGAAAAAGCGCTGCAAAAAATATGCAACTATACCAACCATTTTATTATCCAGGGTCTCTGCTTAAAATAAAATTGTTTAGGGGTTCTAAGCAAAAGAAAGAAAAGTTTTTTTTACACATAGGAGAGGACCATCAGAATTAGCACAGTCTGGAAGGTGTTAAAGTCAAAATTCAACAAATTTTTTTTTTTTTTTTGTATTTGGAATAGAGTGGAAAAGATTTGCAGGCCTAAAAAATAAGTGGGAAAGCCTTTGTCATTGTGACAAAAGGCAAATACAACAACAACAACAACATTGCCAGAAATTCTAACTTTTCTCCACAATACCAAAAACGTTGTCTTATCTATTTATTAATTTAAGAAATTTAAAAAAACTTCCTGTCCTGACAAGAACTGAGGGGAAAGCTCCACATGGGGGACACAGATGGCTCTAACCCTTCCCAAGGCCATCCAAAAGTAAAGGATTTTTGACTTTTCAATAAAATCAGTTTCTTGGAGTACAGTACAGAATCCAGTCCTCCAGCACCCAAAATAAATAAATACAAATTTACAGGTCAGTCCTGAGCTGTCATCCAAGTGGGGTCAGCGTGTGGCTCGCCAAGACTCAACCAATAAACAAACAAACTTATCTGAAAGCTGCAGAAGGTGCAGCCAGGATTTTTGACAGGAGGTACGTCTTAGACAAAAAAAGCCGCCAGAGGAAAGAAGTAAGCTTCTCTCAGACAGAAGAGGTCCATCACCTAAGAATACTAACCAAAAAACAATACTAGCTGGGAGTGGGAAGGATTATATAGGAGAGAACCCTGCAGCTGTCTTTTTTCCCAGTGCCCAATTACCTGAAGGCAGCTGCACATAATTCAGAGTTAAATGCAGGATTTTGTATCCTGTACTGTAGGATTAAGAAAATTTTTTGAGTGGAGGTGGGCTTTAACCATGAAGTTTTCAGTGCAATCATCTGGTTCTTCTAGCAGTAAGATATTTAACAAATATATTTTAAATGCAAGTAGTATAAATACCTGAATTTGACTTGATTTCTGCCTGTTATCCACTTTACAGAAGCACTGGGAAAAGAAATGGCAATGTTTGAGGCAAATTAGGCGTCCTGCATTCACACGTGCTAACAAGGTATATGCTGCCAGGAGGAGCGCAAAGTGAACCTCATCAGTCTGTTGCTGCTCTTTCACTATCCATTCACAGGCTGGGGGACTAGAAGGTGACGATGACCGAGCTGTGTTTATCTGCAGCAGAAAAAAAAAACGTCAGGTAAAAAACCTGCTGTGCGACATAGGCTGCATTGCTCAGGACTGGATGGACAAAAGTAAAATCGTTTGGTAGGTAAAGCAGCTTCTGTGTATCTCTTTCAAATACTTAGCTATTTTCTTGGAATTAAACTTTTACATAGAACACTTCCAGCAGATATAATGAGAAATTACACATTTATACTCTTGTAATTTGAAGATAGATTCACAGGCAAGTCACAAGCATAGAATTCAAACTTTTTGTTTTTTTACTTCGCATTTGTTAATTACAGGTACCATAATTCAGTGGTAATTAAGGCAGCAGCCTGAAAATAGCAAAAGTGGAAATATTTTGACCACTAAACTACACAACAAAATTATATACAGACTTACTGTATTTACAGGATGTTTATTAGGCATGCTGGTCCTGTGTCGGTCAGACATGCTGTTGATACCACAGCACATACAGTGCCTTGAAAAAGTATTCATACCGCTTCCATATTTTGTCATGTTACAACCAAAAAATGTAAATGTATTTTATTGGGATTTTATGTGATAGACTAACACGAAGTGTCATAATAGTGAAGTGGAAGGAAAATGATACATGGTTTTCA